GGTGATGGAGGAGGAAGAAGGGTTGGAGGTGGTCGGCTATGGCGGACGGCGTGGGTGATGGAGGAGGAAGAAGGGTTGGAGGTGGTCGGCTATGGTGGACGGGTGTAGGTGATGGAGGTGGAAGAAGGGTCGGGGTGGTCGGCTATGGTGGATAAGTGTAGGTGATGGAGGTAGAAGAAGGGTTGGGGTGGCCGGCTATGGTGGACGGTGTAGGTGATGGAGGAGGAAGGAGGGTTGGAGGTGGTTGGCTATGGCGGACGGCGTGAGTGATGGAGGAGGAAGAAGGGTTGGAGGTGGTTGGCTATGGCGGACGTTTGTGGGTGATGGAGGAGGAAGAAGGGTTGGAGGTGGTCGGCTATGGTGGACGGGTGTGGGTGAGGGAGGAGGAAGAAGGGTTGGAGGTGGTCGGCTATGGTGAACGGGTGTGGGTGATGGAGGAGGAAGAAGGGTTGGAGGTGGTCGGCTATGGTGAACGGGTGTGGGTGATGGAGGAGGAAGAAGGGTTGGAGGTGGTCGGCTATGGTGGATGGGTGTGGGTGAGGGAGGAGGAAGAAGAGTTGGAGGTGGTCGGCTATGGTGGACGGGTGTGGGTGATGGAGGAGGGAGAAGGGTTGAAGGTGGTTGGCTATCACGGACGGGCGTGGGTGACGGGGGGGGGAGATAGGTTGGAAGTGGTCGGCTATGCTGGACGGATGTGGGTGATGAAGGCGGAAGGTGTGTTGGGGTGGTCGAGATTGGAGGAGCGGTAGCGGAAAGCTTGTCGGACGCAGCCTAACTCTCAACCCCGTGCCCCCTTTTCTACCCGGGTGCCCGACCACCTCATACTATTCTCGGAAGGCACCGGTCACAAAATAAGAGGAAGGACTGAACGGGCTTCCGGGATTGCATCACACACACCTACACATACCACAGGTCACCGGTCGCAGCAAAGGGTGAGGATGGACCGAACAGGTTGTCGGGGACTGCAACTCACACACTCACACATACCGGGTGTCACCGGTTGCAGCAAGGGGTAAGGGCGGACTGAACAGGTTACCGGGGACTGCAACCCACACATTCACACATATCGGGTGTCACCGGTTGCAGCAAGGGGTAAGGGTAGGCTGAACAGGTTATCGGGAATGTTACTTGATTGGGGGG